CTTCATTCAAAAACTGCATTTTGTGTTTACTTGTGTTATCTTTGTCTTTGTCTAAAAAAAATAAGAAATCAGGAAGGGGGCAAACACTTTTTCACACAACTGTATATCCCGTGTACTATTTCAGACTTTATGTTGTAGCAGAGCCCTAAAAAGCCTAATCTTCAGTCAAGACTTCCCTCCTCTCCAACACGTTCGTTCAAGGCCGAACCTGTGGAGCTGACTTTAGTGGCGGTAGGCGCAGGGCTCTTCAGGAAATTCCTGTTCTGGATGTGATGTGAGCAACTGTTTCTGTAGAGCCATCACTGACGGCGAGGCATCCACTGAAACCCACCGGGACAGAATATGAGTCATGCCAAAGCAAGCGGTGGAATGTGTTCCCAAGAGATTAACGAGCAGCCGTCACCGACCGACTCCGCTGCTGCCGAGCGCAATCCAACGCCACTCAGACTGGAATCCAGCTGAAAGCAGATTGTTGTTGACTCTTTCAATTTAGCATATTAAAAATACTTTGGAGGCAGTCAATCGTGATTTGGCCCTCAGCTTTTTCCCAGCATGCTGACAAAGAGCTGTACTGGTGACTCCAGGTTCGTAGAGTTAAGAGAATGAAATTCTAACATGCAAAATTACCTTCTTTTTTTTTTTTTTGAGGTTATTATCCCATAGGAACTTGTCTAACTTGTTCTATTTTATTTTATGGAGGAATCTTTCACTCAATCCTTTCTTCTACACCTTGCTCCGCCATCCGTCTCCCCCTCCAACGTTGCTTGGCATTCCCCGTTTGCCTTTAGCACAGTTGGCACCAGCTCTCATCTCCTTCGTCCACTTCTCCCTCCCTCCTCCCCCCCTGCCCCCTTTTACTCTCTCATCCTCAGTCTTGAACCCGCTGCTCTGACCAGGAGAACAAAAAGACTACAAAGGCAACGTTGCTGGACGAAGTAGAGTTAAATTCATGGTTTTTACACCTTTACCATTTTTGTTTTTAAAAATCCTGAGAAAGCGAGAGATTTGACTAATCTAGCATGTAAGCGAAATGCGGATTTGGTATTTCCCCCCCGAGTCTTTGCATGCGCTACAGTGCACTGCACTGTGAAGGCTTGAGTTATCCCCTGTGATTTCTTTAAACTCTTTCCTCCGGAGCCTTTCGACAGGCACCGTTTCAAACCAGGCCAACGGGTGTCATTTGTCTTGGAAGTCGAAGTCTTTCCCATGCAAAATGAACCTTTTTGGACCGTTAACCTGTCAGTCAGTGTCAGCATGTTGAAACCACCTAACGAGGCATGAAGAGTTCAATCAAAAGGAATTTGAAAGAGGCTGACAAGGCTGGCATTTAGTGATTTCCCCCAAAGCCTGCATCATGCTGTGTGTTTGCACTTAGAAATGTTCTCCCCACAGTGCCAACTCGGCTTCAAGGAGGAAAAGGAACTATTCACTATTTGTTTGGCTTTATCTTTGTCGACCTTTTCTTATTCTCTTAAAGGAAAAGTTTGACATTTTGGGGAATATTTGCTTTCTTGCCCAGAGTTGGATGAGAAGATCGATACCACCCTCCGCACAGACATCGTTATCGATCTTCTCATCTAACTCTGTGCAAGAAAGCAAATAAATGTGTCTAACTATTCGTTTAAAGGAGTTTCGGAGCAAGGCGTTAACGTCTCATATCCGGATGAGTGAGCAAGGATGAGCTTCTTCGTTACTTGCCAATCGAACCTTAATTTGTTGGCTAATAGGACTACGTCTCCCCTCCCGTTTGGATGTGACTCTATTCACTTACCCAGCTTTCCTCAGGATCTTCTCCATTATCACCTGTCACTTCCTCTCCTCCCTCCCACCATTTCAGACAAGGAGATGAACATCAGAAGCATTGGGAGAGGAGGGGAAGCGTGTGTGGAGAACAGAGGAGAAAAAAAAACGTCAAACAGGCTGCCTTTTGTCAATGAGCTTCAAAGAGCTGTCGCATCAGAGCCGCGAGCCTGCATTCTCCTTGCACTCACTCATTTATACGCTATTTTACGCACCCACACACCCCCACACATCAAAACTGCTTTTCCCGCGCTGCCGAATCACATTTTGCTGCCGTGCACCGTCACTGCACGAAGAACCCGTTGAACCCACCGTCTCTCTCTCCCCTCCCTCCCTCCCTCCCTCCCTCTACTCTCTCTCTTTCTCTCTGCCAAGACTCTCTGCAGTATCGCTGTCTCCTCTCAGGTGGGCCGTCATCGCCGGCTCCTCTGGAGTAACGCAGAGCTCGCCTGAGCGCTGCAGGCGCAAACATCCTGAAGTGATCGAACAAATAGATATTTCCGTGCTCCCAGCCGGGCACTGTTGCCAAAACACAATCAATGTAGACCTGGGACTGTACCGTGGACAGTCTTTCAGGAACCTTGAAAAAGGCTGTGTCTATCATTTGGTCGTTTTGTGTTTTTTTTGTATCACTGCAGCACAATACAGCTTGTCAGACAAGCGGCATTGTTTCTGCTTCTCTGCTTTGTCCCCATTCAATTTTCTGTCATGCCGAATGCAAATGCCCGCAACCTCTTTTCAAAGAGATGCTCTTTCTTCTGTGAAAAGAACTGACTGCAGTCTGACTTTTCATCCGGGGCGCTCTGAGGGCGACATGGTGACCTGCCAGGTCAGGGAGCAGAGCTACACTGGTCCTCCGTTCAGCCCGGGCAACCGAAAGACAAAGCAACAGTTGAACTTGCGACCTCGAGTGTTAACATGCAACACTTTGTTTTTTCGTACATGCAGAGATCTGGGCTCCAACTCCGAAAGGCATTAAAGGCGCATGCGCCCTGAGAGAGAATTCAATTACAGTCGGACTGTAGCGACGTTGTCACAGAGAGTAAAATCCTAGAGCCGCTCTAAAGGCAGAGTAACGACATGACTGTGACGGCAGCCGTGCTTATTTTAACTGGGCGCGTTTTGTTTTCATTACCAGCCGTGCGCTCAACATCCAAATTAAACTCATTTGGATGGAAAACCTCAAACTAAATTCCCGTCAGCCGACATGGACAATTTAATTTAAAGTCAATGGACCAAGTCCAAAAAAGTCCAATAAATTCAAGTTGCTGTTTAGTCACTGAGACAGTTATTCATGTATTGTGTATTTGTAGATACTGACTTGTACTTTTTAACTGTGGAGTTACCCTTTTAAAGAATGCATGGTAACGATTGTTCTGATTTCTCTCTCTTTCCACCATTTATTGGTTTGCCATGACCACATTAAAAGGTCATGGTTGTGTTTATGCTTAAAGGACTTTGTCTGAGCACAGCTAATCTTTTGTTTTTTCCTTCAATAAAATCCATCTTACTGGAACATTGTGTAAAGGTCTTTGTGTATCCGCAATCTAATTTATCCAAACAGTATAATATTATACACAAATCATCTCGAATGTCTGCCAATCCATCAGGAAGTATGTGTTTTCATAATTAAGTCAGGCTTAACAAATGATGGAGGCTAACCCGAGGTGACTTTCTCATTGATCATCAGTTAGGACCACGAACAACCTTATTTACCCAGTCATTTCTGAAGACATTGCTGCTGGATCGTTCTCTCTGACATTGATGTTGACAAAATGAAGCGTGCCTTTTTGTAATTCTTGTTATCAACCGCTGTGCTGCATTTTTTTAATTTTTTTTTTATATCCAGGCTCTGTGCTGGACGTGATCAAGCATATCATCTCACGAGGGGAGCACAAGACCGGCGTCCTGGATGAGCCTAGCATAGCCACGGTGTTGAAAGATGTGCTGGAAGGCCTCGAGTATCTCCACAAGAACGGACAGATCCACAGGTAACTGGACTCATGGCCCGGCACGCTGGTACTGTAATAAAACTGACCCGGGACTTTCTATTACCACTAAGCGCCAAAGGCTTTATCAGACCTCACCTTGAGGGTTTATGAAGCTGAAACTTTCTCTTCTCTGTTGCTCCCCTAAAAGGTGTCGTACTAATATTATGTCCTCCACCTCGACTACATAGGACATTATGTTATTGTAGTAGAGTCTGTGTCCATTTGTGTTTGTGTGAAAGCAATGTTTTAATTGGGCCTTAATGATGCCGTACACATAAAAAAATGATCCCAGTCACTTAATGCTAATTAATGCTTTATATGTTGAGCACAGAGGCTCCCACTAACAACAGATTGCTGTTCATGAGATGCATTTAGTAGCAGCGTTTTAATGTGGAACTACCATAATTAAATGTTTTTCAGATTCAGGATTTTATAGTAATATTTCATCTTAATTACAACATGTGGAGACATTGTTACGTTTACACTCTCCTAATGCCGACTCTCATTGGGTTCATTAATGCTCTTCTTGACATAACTGTCTGTTTTTATATATTACGGTGACTAATTGTGTCATTTTCTGCCCTTTATCATCATGTGGTATCTATTGCTTTCATACTCTTTCCATTTGTCTGTCATCTTGTCACATATTCCCTCTGTCTTAGTCGAAAAAATTAAGTGAAATATCTGGCAATGTATGCAAATAAATTCATGGCTTTTAGAGCGTGGTTTATTGCAAAGGTAGGTTCATGGAAGTGATTGGCATTCTGATGACTGTACCATGGAAGTGGTATTTAAAGACAGCCACTCTTGCTCCTAAAGGTCAGGGTTGTTACTGGGCTCTGTACTGACATGAGGCAGTACACTTCCCCAACGGGACTGCGACAAGTGTTCCAGAAGAAGAAGAAGAAGAAGCGGTATTGATGCGTGTATGGCTTTCCACTAACGTACAGTTATGAATGAAAAAAATCCAACTCACTTTATCTTTACTTTTCATATTAAAGCTGTAATAATGCTACAAAACCTTCAGTGTTTTTAATGAAACAACAACTTTAAGTTGCGGCAAGAGATCTGTAAGTAGAGCATGACATCCATGCTGATATAATCTTTAAGAGGTACAGTATGAATATGGAATGTGTGACTGGCAGATTTGCGTGCCACAGGAAATTAAATCTCTCTTCTAAGCCAGTTCAAGACCTGGCTAAGTCCCCCGCACTCAAGCTGTTACAATGAACCCAGTCGACACACTGGCTGTATTTAATATTCATTACTCACTTTTTCACGGTCTCTTTTTCCTCTCCCCGCTGGCACACATATAGCCGAGACAGACTACACGTGTAAATAATGCATTGCTTTTCGGCTTGGTTAAGTGCTCGGCAGCTTTCAGACGAGCGTACCGACAGAGAGGCGTGATTGAGGACTTTGAACATGAGGGATGTGTAGATGAGGAGGCAGCTCATTAACATCTTAATGAGAAAACGGCTGCATCCTTTACAATCGATGGGTTGAGATGTGTAGAATTACTCTGTCTAAATTACTCTGTTGATTAAAAGGAAAATCCAGCACGGTAGGCCTCTGCTGCAGCATTTAAGTATCTACTTCCAGCATAATGTGACGGGGTTATCGGTCATTGCCAGAGAGGCGGAAATGTTTTTCCCGGGTAAAAACCTTCCTTCAACTCTGTAGCGTCGTAGGAGACATAAGAGGATCATTAATAGATTATTCATTTATCACTTCTGTCCCCTGAGGTACGCCCCAGCACTGAAAATCAGTGACGTGCTGAGTGGAGAAGCTGTGGTCAGTTGATCGGCTCTGCTGATGTAAACGCGCGCACACGCGGCCGTGCGTGTTCCTCCTGTGTAAGCCGGATCATATGAGTCAGAGCCCCAGGGGTGATGGAGAGAGTCAAGGGGG